TAATAAAACTTTATTTATGAAAACAGGCAGAGGGCCTGATTTGTCTCATGGGCTGTGGTTTGTTGACTCCTGCTCTAAACATTCTCCCCTCCCTGCTACAGTCTAAGACTGTTGAGGGAGAAAGAGCATCATCGTAAATGTGAATTATCAGCCTAGTGGGAATGTTGTGGTTGTTCCCCATCCTCTTCTCCCCAGCCATGTGAGGAGGACAAGAGAATCACTTGAAAAGACAAGGTGTGCACAAAGGGAGGCCCAGCATCTCCTACTGTAGTTAAATCTTTTCCTAAGAAATGAAATTAGGGTTTGGACTTCATCTAGGTAGACAAAGAAAAGAACTAGAAAGAGTTGGCAGGGCAACAAGAGGTACCAAAGCAGAGAGAAGATCAACTGTTTGGTGTGACAAAGACGTGTAAGCTTCCCGTAGCTCCAGGGGCCACAATGGAACTGGACTTGATTAGTTTTGCCCTAACTGTATCTACAGGACTTGTATACTGGCCCCAAAATGACCCGATCAGTTGTGGAACAGTTTGAATGGGAGCCAGACCTCCCAGGTCAGAGAACCTGGGCAGAAGGGATGCCCCACACCATGCCCCAAAGAGAGAGTGGCTGGTGACCAGCCGTGTGGTAGGTATCCACACCAGTTGGAGCAGGAAAGAGAAGTAGCCACAACCCACAGAGAGTCACACCAGCAGCCAGACTCATAAGAGACACTCATGTGTTCCTGAGATGAGAGGGAAGAAGGGCCCAGAGGCAGGCCACATGCCCCCATCCTCCACACCAAACCACACGCTTGCAGGGGAGGACAGATGAACAGACCTTGCCTCCCACCCCAGTTTAGCTTTCCTCCATCCAGGAAACTGGTCAGTGGCAGGGGAAAGAAGAGCTTTAGACTGGAATGAGATCAGAGTTTTAAAGGGGATGGTTTTTTAACAACTGGTGACCTGGCAGTTATGGAATTTGTTCAAGATGCTATTTACTAAGGAATCTGCTATGGAGGAGGAAAGAGATTTAGAACAGCACATTTAGAGGCCATGACTGCTAGTGGGAAAGGGTTAGTGTTTATATCCCCTGGGTGGAGACTGAAAACTAAACACCCATATATAGTAACATCTCAGCCATCCAGATTCTATTTATTTAATAAGCCTTTTTAGCTGCACAGACCATTGTCGAGATACTGGACACATGCTCTCTATCTCTCTCTCTCACACACACACACGTTATCTGTGGAGAAAAACATGCCTCTTTGTATTCTTACGTGAACTGCTCAGTCGGTCACTCAGAGATGACTTAGTTAAATGAAAAAAAGAGATTAGGCTAAAAAACACACACACAAAGCTGGAATTTGAATTGTTCTATCATGCTCAGGTATATGGGTTCTCAGTCACTAGCTGGTAACATTAAAGCATTGCTTGTAGCATCAGAAAGACCCAGGTTTGATACCCGCTTCTGCCATTTAGTAGTTGCGTGCCCTGGACATAGAATTTATTCCCTCAGAGATTTGTCTCCTCATTGCTAAATGGAAGATAACGATACTTCATGGAGGGATTGTGAGGATGAAACTTTGTAATGAATGTTAGGCTCTTGTCATAGTGCCTGACTCCTAGAAATAACACAGTGAATTTGTTGTTCTTGACATCATCAATATCATCGATGGATCAGGAGGCAGACAAATGGGATAAAAGGTTTGCAAATGGAAAGGAAAGGTAGACGGCAGAACTTCTAATAATATGATTAAATAATGTTCTTTATGTGATTCTGGAGGTCATCAAAGAGTATATATTATTTTTAATATAGCTTTTCAAGAAGGCAGAGAATGTACTACTTTTTAGAAAAAATACTAATGAGTGTTGGAAATGTGCAATTAGCTAGAAAATTCATTAGTGAGTAATATATGAGGATATATGAATCTACCTGTGAAGGCAATCATTTGAAAGTGTGTGAAAATTCAAGATTATTAAAATACATGAGTAATGTATTATAATGTTAAGTCTTATCCCCTCAGCCCTCCACAATCCATGGCATCTTACATGATTCTGTCTCCTCCTAAATCCACAGCAGCTTTTGAAGATATTTGGTTATCTAAAGTCACCAGGGACCCTTCAAAGCTAAAGGAATGAGGAGAATGAGTCACCCCATTCCATCTGTCATTAGAAGAAGCCATTGGGTGCCCAAATGTGCAGGTATTATGCTGAGTATTTGAGATAAAAACCCTTAGGACTTGGCCCTGCCTAATGGCATATTCTAATTTGGAAGGATAGAAACCTAGAAGGATCCTCCTGCCTAAAGGGTTGGGAGTGACAAACTAGATGGGAAATTGCTAGAAGATACCCAGAAGGGCATACTGGGGGAGAAGTTAGTCAGAGAGGAGGGGAGGGCACAGAGGTATGTAACTGGACACAGTTCTGGCAAATTACCCGATACAACAATAGTAACAGGAAGTGAGAATTATCCCCCAATCCAGTCACCCCAGTTAGAGCCAGACAGGAGGGAAAAGGAAGGTGTGTGACTCGGTGTGGCCTTGGTAACAGCCTGCATGAGGATGCGTTAACCAAAAGAAATCAGAATATACGCAGGGCAAGAAGTTAGAAATACCATGAAATGATGTTCTACCAGCAACTGGCCTGGAATCAAAAGACAGGGGGTAATAGGGTAATAGGCAAATTGCATCTAAAAAAGAGAGCACAACTGAGTGAGTGGTCAAATCTAGAGACTTCTAGAGAGTTGAGATGTTTTAGGAGTCATTTTTTTTTTTAACCCTCAAAGAAAGATTCCATACCTCCATTCCCATTTCCAAAAACAAAAGTGAAGTTTGGAAGCTGTTATCTTTGTATTATTACTGCTCAAGTTATAATCACGGTCACAGAGTTTACAACCTGTAAGTTCATCACCAAACCTGTCAAACAGAAGATGCATTTGGTGAAGATCAAGCACTTCCCCTACATGGGAAGACACTGCATACGTTGCCTAAAGCATTACCCTTGACCATGGGAATAGATCCTTACCTTTCCTATATAATGGAGAGCCAGTGTATTACAATTCCTTTGTCTATAGAAGGGGCTGCATGTAATGACCATCAATCAAGATGATGTTTGAACAGCTCTTTGGAGCTATTTATGTGCCTCAAAATGTCTACTGTGTTCACACAGATAAGAAGTCCACAAATAAGTATTAAATTGCTGTGGGCAATTATTAAATGGCTTCCCACATACTTTTATATCCTCAAAGTCTGAGTATATTATTCATGAGGGAATATCCAGACTCAGCTGTCCTGGCCAGTTTGAAAGATCTCCTACCTTCAGATATTTGGTGGAGATGCATCATTAACATGTGCAGTCATCATTACCCCCTAAACACAAATAAGGAGATAGTGCAGTATTTGAAAACATCGAATGGGAAAACACTACTCCTCACTTAGTTTCCACTCTAAAACCTGCTGAAAGGATCAAATATGCCCTTAGAGAACTAGAACATACTCTTTTGTCCTGAAAAGACTTAAAAAAGAAGCACCACCAAAAAACAACTCAGAATCCACTTTTCTTCAGCTTAGGTTGCCCTTACAAGGGAATTTGTCCATTTTGTACTTTTGAATAAAATAGTCATTGAGTTATTCTCATGGGCCCCAATACCTTCAGTCCCAAGGAGCTTTTCTGTATTACACTTAGTATTGCAGGTAATTGTGGTTTCTTTTCTCTTTCCTTTGCTTATTTCTATTTTTTAATCAAAGCAATTTAACATTACAATCTTAAAATAAATCATTAAATGGCTAATTATAATGAAGGATTGGAGGGCATGCCTCTCCCTTACATGCAGCCCCAAACACCAAAGGCAACGAACACCATACTTTTAGCTGTTTCTCCTGTTGCTTACCTCTATACCTAAATAATTTGCCTATACCACCACTTCTTGACATATCAAATTTTAACATTAAATATCATATCCTGCTATGATTGTTGATAATTAGATTTTCAGCCTTAACCCACACTTTTCTTCACTTTTTAATTCCATGATTTTAAATTAATAGTCAACATCTACATTACCATAATCATGAACCATGAAGCTATCCTTTAGAGCTCGCAAATATTCTACTAATTGCACTTACTTTCTCCCAAACATTTTGTTTTTCCTAGAGTTGATTACCTCATGTTTTCTTTTCTTTACTTACATATATTTATGACCAATATTCTCAAAATGCTTAAACTAATCTGCCAAATACATAAAATTTTTCAAGTATTCAACTCTTTATCAGCTCCTTTTTCCCTCTCAATTTAGACATGTCTCCCAGGTAGACCTGTCATTGACCATTTATCCTAGAAATTCTCTTCCTGGACCTGTGTGGGATCCTATATTCCACAGTCTGTGTTCTTATCTTTTAAAGATAGATCCTGAAATAGTTAAGAATGAGATAATGTGACATCACACAGTTGATACAAAATAGTCTGAGAGTAAGTGGGGAAGTGACTCATGATTGGCTCTCCATTATTATTGACACTGTTGACTGGTATATGAAGATTAATTATTGCTCTATACTTTTTACATGTTTGAAATTTCCTAAAGTAAAAATATTTTAAAACTTTAATCCCAGATACTTTTTTTTGCAGTTATTATAGATGGGACCATACTGTTAGTTATGTTCTTCCATTCATTTTATGTATGAAGTGTGTTAATTTTTCTACATTATTTTTTAAGCTCAGCCTTATTAATAAATTTCTTCACTCATTGTAACAATTATTTTATTGATTCTCTTGGATTTTCCCACTTGTTTAATCTACAAATGATAAATTTACCAATTTCCAATTATAAATTATAATTCAGTAGGCATCACAAAAGAAAAAACACACTTTTCTTACTCAGTATAATGCCATTACCTCATATAACAAAATTACCATTAATTCTTTAACACAATTGAATATCCAAATCAAATTCAAATTTCCTAATTGTCTAAAATAATTTATATAGTCGATTGGTTTGTTGAAATAAGAATTTGAACAAGTTTCACTCACTGAATTTGTTTTGATGTCTCTTAACTCTTTCATGTTCCCATTCTTCTTGAACAGATTGTTTGTCATGTAGAACATCCCCCATTCTATAGATTTGGCTGATTGCTTTCTTGTTTCATTTTTAACTCATTTCCTTATCCCACACGTTTCTTGTAGACTGGAAATTAGTTCTGAAAGTATTATTAAATTAAGGTTTAGTTAGTTGGGAGGGCAAGGGGGTCCTCTTGCATGGAATCAGGGTGCTTATGTCTGGTCATGTCTCTTTTAGGGGTGCTCAAATTGATACATGACTTCAGGCAGGTCCACTTCTTTTAACTGCCCCACCAACATGCCTCTGGATAATCCAGCCACACACTCCCCAAACTGGTCCTCTCCTTTATCCATCTGTCTTTGTTCAGGAAGGATGTTCTGAGACATTCTGTGTTCTTCCTTTTCTACTGATCCCCATATTCCAGTTAATTTCTAAACAAAGATCATTTATTGTATCAGATCCTTCCTCTCCATTCTGCCCTAGCCAGAGAAGTTTCCAGAATGGAAATATTTGAGTAGGTTTAAAATAAATAGAACAATCTAAGGATACAGATTCTGAATACTTCCCAAATAGTCAATACTAAATATTTGAATAAACTATGAATAAGAAGTATCTTTTCTAGCTCTTCTCTATTAGTTATTAAATTATATTAAATATTTAAAATATTCAATTCAGTTTTGTGCTAGTAATCCTTTATTTGCTCTGTGAATCTGGAGGCAAGACTATATGCAGAGTGAGGTTGTCTGGAGAGGCTGAGGGTTTGAGAAGGGTAGAAGAAGTTTGAAATAGTCCCTGCAGGTGGTGAAAATGTGCCTTCAGAACATCATAGTAGGAGCCCGGGCATGCCGAGGGCCTGCTGAAGCGGCAGGCTGTGAATGTACAGTGACCACATTCTGCCTGTTCATGCAATTTCCACAATAATACTCTGTGGCCTAAATGGATAATGGAATTCATTTCAGGACTGTGGATTTCTAGAGGGGTGTAACCAAAAGACAAAGGGGCAAAAAACTTAGGATGCTGGCAAAAGAGAGGTTGAAATGAGGTAGCATACACAGGAAGGAAAATGAAGGTAGGAGGAATGGGTGGAGATGGGGAAACTGGAGTAAAAATGTGTAAAACGAGTGCAGTGGGAGTCGTCAGTTAGGCAAACTGCAAGAAGGTGAGGGAAGAGTGGTTGGATTGAATTACTGTTTTTTAAGGCACTGGGATAAAGCACAAGTTTGGGGGACAACTGTAAAGGCTATAAAGCAAATAAAGGCAATCATCTGAAACTCCTGCATCCTGTCTGAGTTTGTTCACATTCTTTTGTCCTGTGACAGTGGAAAAGAGTGTTTCCCAGCCAAGTTCATTTCCTCTATCTGTGCTCTGGCTCTTGTCATTCATTCAGACAGTTTGGGGTCTGATTTAGATTGAGTTGGAGTACGGTGTGTCAAAAAGGCCTCGTTAAGGAAATGACAGAAGGAGAGCTGAAGGATAAATGGAAGGGTAGGCCAGACAAAATCAGGCTGAGGTAGGAGCTGGTCACAAAAAATTGTACGCTGAGAGAAGGGGACACGGATGTGCCCATCTTGAGGCCGGCAAAATTATGTGTGTAAAAAGAAACTTGTACTAATGATCCTTTCTCTCCTAAATCTTCAACCCATCATGTTTTAATGGATTTTTTCATTTTGCATTTAAATATAAAGTCTCTTCCACCTTAAGAAAAACAAAAATACAGAAAATAAAAAATAAATAAGGTTTGACTTGACAGGTATTCTTTCAAACATGGCCCTACTTCCCCTTCTATAAGCCAGTGTTCTGGGAATCACTTTCAACAGTCACCATCTCTAACTCCTCTCATAACACCCTTTCCTCAACCTACTGCAACTGAACTCTGCCATTCCTCAACATAATTAAGGCCATATATGACAAATCTTTAGCTAACATCATCATACTCAGTAGGGAAAAGCTGAAAGCATTTCCTCTAAGATCAGGAATTAGACAGGATGCCCACTATCACCTCTTTTATTCAGCATAATATTGGAAGTCCTTGCCACAGTAATTAGGTAAGAAAAGAAATAAAAGGCATACAAATTGGTAAAGAAGAAGTAAAATTGTCACTATTAGCAGATGACATGATACCATATACAGAAAACCATGAAGATACCACCAAAAAACTGTTAGAACTAATAAATGAATTCAGTAAAGTTGCAGAATACAAAACGGATACACAGAAATCTGTTGTTTCTATACACTAATGATAAACTATCAGAAAGAAAAAAAAACAAGGAAACAACCCCATTTAGAATCACATCAGAGAGAATTAAATACCTAGGGATAGACTTAACCAAGGAGGTGAAAGACATGTACACTGAAAAGTATAAGACACTGATGAAAGTAACAGAAGACAGAAATAAACAGAAAGACAATCTGTGCTCATAGATTGGAAAAATAAATAATATTGTTAAAATGTCCATACTGCCTGAAGCCATCTACTGATTCAGTGCAATCCCCATCAAAATTCCAATGACATTTTTCACAGAACCAGAGCAAACAGACGTGACCCTTGAACAACATGAATTTGGACTGCATGGGTCCACTTATACCCAGATTTTTTTCAATAATTGTACTGAGAAATTTTTGGAGATTTGTGCCAGTTTGAAAAAATATTTTCTGTACTTCAGTTTACTGTAAGAATACAGTATGTAGTACATATATAAAATATATGTTAATAAGTTGTTTCTGTTATCAGTAAGGCTTCCAGTAAAAATTAGGCTAATAGCAGTTAAGTTTAGGGGAGTTGAAATTTATACACAGATTTTGACTATGCTGGGGGAGAGAGGGCTTAGCTCCTCTAATTTCTGTGATGTTTAAGCATCAACTATAATTCTAAAATTCGTATGGAACCACACAGACCATGAATAATCAAGAAAGAACAAAATTAGAGTCATCATGGTCTCTGGGTTCAAGCTATATTACAAAACTATAATAATCAAAACAGTATGGTATTGACATAAAAAGAGAGACATAGGACAGAATAGAAAACTCAAAAATAAACCCATACATACATGTATGGTCAATTAACTTACGACAAAGGAGGCAAGAATACACAATGTTGATAGGACAGTTTTTTCTTTAAGTATCCAAAGTACATAAAGGATTCACACAGGTCAATAACAAAAAAACAAACAATCTGAACGAGAAATGGGCAGAGGATCTGAATAGACATTTCTCCAAATAAGAAATTCAGATGGCCAACAGGTCCATGAAAAGATGCTCCACATCACCAATCATCAGGGAAATGCAAACCTAGACCACAACGAGATACCACCTCACACCAGTTAGGATGGCCACTATCCAAAAGATAAGAAATAATAAGTGTTGGCAAGAATGTGGAGAGAAGGGAACACCTGTGCCCTGTTGATAGGAATGTATATTGGTTCAGCCACTACAGAAAAAATTTAAAAATAAAACTACCACATGACCTAGCAATTCCACTACTGTGTATCTATCCAGAGAAAATGAAAACGCTCATTTAAAAAGATATACACACTCCCTATGTTCATTGTAACATTATTTACAATATCCAAGATATGGAAACAACCTAGGTGATCATTGATGAATAAATGGATAAAGAAGGATAAAGAAGGATAAAGAAGATGTGGTACACACACACACACACACACACACACACACACACACACACACACACACTAGAACACTACTCAGCCATAAAGAGATTGAAATCTGGCTATTTGTGACAACACAGATGGCCCTTGAGGGTAATTATACTAAGTGAAATAAGTCAGACAGAGAAAGACATATACCACATGATTCCACTTACATGTTGAATCTAAAAAAGAAACAAACAAAACAAATCAAAACCTAGACTCATTACAGAGAACAGATTGATGGTTGCCAGAGGAGAGGGGGATGAGGAGATGGGTAAAATGAGTGAAGGGGGTTAAACAGCACAAAGTTCCAGCTTTAAAATAAGTAAGTCATGGGGATGTAATGGACAGCATGGGGAATATAGTCAATAACACCATAGTAACTTTGTTGGGTAATAAATGGTCACTAGACTTATTGTGATGACCACTTCTCAACGTATTCAAATGTCAAATCACTATGGTGTACACCTGAAACTAATATAATATGGCATATCATAACTCAGTTAAAAAAAACCTTTTTCTGTAATGGTCTCAGTAGTAATATATTAGGCTTTGCAGGCCACATACAGTCTCTATCATGTAATCTTTACCTTTTTTATAATGTTTTAAATGTAAAAATGTAATATGTAAAAACCATAGCTAGCTGGCTGGCAATACAAAACAGATCACAGGCTGATTTGGTCAGTGGACCTTGGTTTGCCAAGCCTTGTTCTGATTCTACATTAATTGCTCCAACCTGGGACAAATGCCTCTCTCTGCCATTGTTTAACATAACAAAGGAGGAAAGACAGTACTGACTTACCAGGGTTTCTCAGAATTTAGTTTTCCTATCAATTACTATGCCATATGCCCAGGGCGCCAACTTCTTCCTTTGGAACCTTCTTTTTGCTTCTGTGCCTGATGCAATCCCATCACCCTTCCTACTCTAATGTGAACGCATCCATTCCATAAGATCGGTGCTTCGCTTTACTCTCTTAATCCTGGCCCATCTGTTTTCTGTCTTCCAAAGGACCTCTGGATATTATTCATTACTGTTTTTCAGAACTGCCCATAACTAATTATATCTAAATATATATATCTTTTCTAGGAGAGAGAAAGAAAGATCTTCTCCATCATAGGTAGGAATTAGGGCAGGAGGGGAGGGTATGTAATGGTCATCCAATCTCTATCTCTACTTTTTAGGGACATTTTCTTTACCATGACCATAAGCCTCAAAGCAATGTCTTCAACAACTCTTGAGCCTTAACTATGAGTTTAACTTATTTCTCTGCTGTTTTTTTTCTTATATCCCATTTCTGTCTTTTTTTAGATTAGTATTTTATTGAGTTGAGTACAGCCTTGAGTAATTATTTAACAAATGGCCTGAAAGTGGCTTCAACTATTTGAGTTCTTGCATTTGACTTCACTCTTGAATGAGATTAGTTGGGTAGATGATTCTGAGTTTAAAATAATTTCCCTTGGAGCTTTGCTTTGATCACTTTTAGCATCAAGTATCACTAATGAGGAATCTGTTACTGATGAGGTATTTTTCCTTTATACGTAGTTTATTCTCTATCTCTACATGAAATGTTTTAGGATTTTCTCTTTGACTTTGAAGATACGAAATTTTTCAGGAAGTGACTTCATTTTTGTGAATATGTGAGGTACGGTCTGAATTAATTGTTTTACAAGGTAATATTCAGTTATTTTAGTATCATTATTGACAAGATTCTTCTTTCTCCATCAAATTGTCATGGCAATGTTATTGAAAATCAGTTGACCGTATTATAGGAGTTTATTTCTGGACTGGAAATTCTTTTCCATTGATCTGTGTATCTCCCAGTGGGGGGATATTGTCACACTCACCTCTCTGTCACTACAAAATTAGTGTATAAGACATATTGTAAGAACTCATAAAGATGTACAGTTTCATGTACCTCACAATACGGTCTCTAGAGAAGCATCAGCACCAACTGGGGACTTTCTGTAAGTGCAGATTCTCAGGCCGCAGCCTAGATTTGTAGAATCAGAGACCCTGAGGGTGTGAGGAAAGCCTTATGCATTTACCAAGCCCGATCGATGCATGCGAACCTTGAAGCACCAGCACTGATAAAATTTCCCTGTGTTGTTTTATGAGAAATTCAAATAAGTAATTCATGTGTTTGAACCCATATTATAGATACTATCTTATTCATTAGATGCTAATAACTATTAAAAATTAAATCCCTAGTATATTAAGTTTCAATATCTCACTAAATAAAAGATGAACAGATCAAGGAGAGAATGGTTCTGTGTTCGTGTGTGTGTGTATGTCTTTTAAAGAAAATTCTCCTGGAAGGACAGACAGCAAGGGCAGCAAACCTGAGAATTCAGAGGTCCTGGAGAAGGAGGTTTGTTCAGGGAGATGCCCCAAGTGCCAGGGACTTAGTTCGGCCACTCTGTATTCCTCCTCAGGAGATCACTCCTACCGATCAGCTGAGGCAGATACGCTGGCTGAGGCTGGGCTGGAGCCTACTGCGTGGCCAGCCATCAACAGGACCAGAGAGGAAGGGTCAGTAAGGATGGGAAAGGGCTCACCACAACCTCAAGATTTGAGTAAGAACAACATTTTCTGGAAAAGACAGGCAGAGCAGACAAAACCAAGTGCCCACTATATAGCCTCCAGACTCTTGTGGCAGAAGCTTATTTATGGAAGGTGTGATGATGAAGAAAGTAGTGCCACCGGCCACACATCCCTTCTCCCTCCAGTTATCCATCCTTGTTTTTAAGACAAGTTATAGCTCAATAAATAGGACTCCTGCTGGCCTGTGGAGTCTGCTGCTGAAACCCCAAATGGAGTTCATTCAGGCAAAGCTGAAGTGTACCATTAAGTCTGAAAGCATCCTGCAACCGTCAGTGTCTAACACAGGCCCACCCCTGGTGGTCAGCCTCCGGCATTTCCTCCCTCTTTCATCGCAAGGAAGAACCTAATATACCCAGTCCCCATCCCCATGAAGGTCACTCAGTCAGATGCAGGGGTCTACTGACCACTGGTCCACACGATCTTCAACCTGCCTCATCAGACATGTGGCTCAGCGGTTTTCTCTTTCTTAATACAGCAAAGTGTAGCAGGTCCAGAAATTGAGACTTTTTCCAAGCAGCGATCACCAGTCAGTCATGAGTACAAGCTTCCTTTTGCTTCCTAATCTCTCTCCCTGTGGCACAGAAATATCGATGCCTTTGCTCTTGGGCACTCATCTCCATGGACAAGATAATCACAAAACGAACTGCACAGTCCACTACTGACTGTGACCCACACTGCTCCACAAAGGCAGCCCAGCAAGGGCTCATCCCAGTCAATTAGGTCACCTACTGTCAACTCTCCAGCAGGACTTGAACAGGTCTCAGGCCTGGCTGGGCAACAACAATCAGAGCTTGACAGCATGGCTGCTGCCCAGAGCTTTCATAGAGGCATCTCCCTACCTGCACCAGCCCCTGATATTTATAAAGAGTGATTTTTGCTAATTTTTCTTTCTTAGAGTGTGGAGGCCTTGCCCTGTTTGCAGCTGTAGTTTGTTGCCATTAGCAGTAATCACGGTTTCATGCTCAGTTTGCCCCTGTCTGGTCACGGCCACGAGGGATCCTGCCTGCTCACGCTAGACTGTTTGTCCCCATCAACCCCGAGAGTTCTGAAACGATCATCATTCTCCAGCAGGATATCAAGCCATTCTTGCTTTCTCTGCCCCACAAGCCAGCATTTGTTGCCTGTCAAGTTACCCTCATCCCATTCACCAGTGAAGAATGTAAAGACGCCCTTCATACTTAACTTAAGCTGATGCTTATCGTTTCCTAGGACGGGGAGTGAGAAGCAGACTGGCAGCAGAGCAGCAAGGGCTTCCGGCCACCGAGCAGGAGCCCTGCTGCTTTAAACATGTGAACTTAGGCCGATGGATGCTTTCACTTTGTCCTTATCTGAGTTCTTACCTTATCCTAAATCCGGACCTTAATCACATTTCATCAAGTTCCACATACCATCTTATAGGCTGCCCCACCAGAGTTTTACTTATAACGCTGACCAAAACTCTCAGCAGGACCTGCTAACTCCTGGCTGTTCCCATCAAGCCAGACTATGTGATAAGATGTTCATTACATCTTTATACATCTACATACTGTAGTTTATCAAACCTAAAACACCACTGATTTTAGGACCTATAACTTTTTGTGTCCGTAAGAAATACAAACCTTGCTAATTAAACAATAACAATGCTTTCTTACCACTTACAGTTTTTACTTAAGACTTTAAAGAGCTTCTTCTAGAATAGGGGTTAGCAAGCTCTAGCCCCCGGTGCAAATCCAGCCTGCCACCTGTTCTTGTAAATGAAGTTTACTTAGAACACAGCCAAGTTCACTTGTTTACCTGTAGTCTGTGGCTTGCTTTTACGCTGCAATAACTGAGTTGAGCATTTGGGACAAAGACAGTACGGCCTACAAAGTCAAAAACATTTATTATCTGGCTGACTGTTGTTCTACGTTCATTTAGACTCTGTATTTTTAAATTCCATTTTCCTTTTATTTATATACAAGATTGATGTAAATGCAATAAATTGGTTATTTCTTTATAACAAACATGCAAGAAAACATGGATTTTGGTCATTTCCCTAATAACAAATATTGCTTCACTACATTCAAAATTTTGCCCTGATTTGTGTCTGTGCCCTTTCCATTTCATTGTCAAACCTCCCTTTTCGAAACTGTTACAGGATCAACATTATGGGCTTCCTGCCACAGCAACTCTGCTGGTCTCAGCTGGGATCAGTCCTGGAGTTACAGACATCAGACAGGCCCAAGGCAGTGGCTCACGTGTCTGTCAGACGGCATTGGCTTTCTGCCAGGGCCTCTCACTCTCCCCCTCACGGCCTCTCATATCTTCCAGGCTTGAATGGGCTCGCTCCCATGATGGTGGGAGTGTTCCCAAACAACAGAACCCCAACGTGAAAGCGCTTATTGAGCCCCTGATTACATCACATATGCTGATGGTCTATTGGCTAAAGCAGGTCACAGACCAGTCCCAGGATCTCATTTAAGTGTCCATCCATGGCAAAGCAATAAGCAGGACACAGGGTTTATCTCTGAAACACAAAGAAAGACATTTTACAAGGGCCACACTCAACATACACATTAAAGTTTCAGAGCTGGCCTTTAAAGTGGCCCAAATCCTCTCGAAGAAGGTTGACAGGATGTTTTGATCTAGCAAACTTTTTCCATGCTCGGGAATCTTCCTGTTCAATTGAGACAAATGAGTGTCCACTATTATCTGTATCTAGCTCTCTCACAAAGAGCAAGCCTGAAGGTCAGAAAATGGAGATCAAACATCTAGTTTTAGTGTATATTTTTCTATCCCAGATGCAGGCGAGAAACTTCGCATTATCTGTGGCTAGGATTGCTCTCCATCAGAGTTTAACATCAGAGGAAAGCAGCAATCATATTAGAGTAGCTAACCCCACAGTCAGTTCAGGTCAGCCCATGTCATAATAAACCTATTTTTAAATGTTGCAGCTTCTTCTACTCTGACAGTAATGTGACCTCTTCTGGCACTTACTTAATGTAACACAACCTCAGAAAGGGTTGTGAAGTTTATTTACATTACGTGAAGTTTATTTACATTACATTCTACCATGTCAATTACATTTAAGTCCTGGAAATTTGTGTTTACATACAGAATCCAGCAAATCCCTAGGAGAATTTTTTTTTCAAAAACAGAAACAAAGCAGGATACAATTAACATTATACTTGGGGCACTTAGTGAGCATCTTGCTTCCGTGCGGTTTCATCTGGGATTTTCGAGTAAACTGTATCCAAAGGCTGCCAGTGGCAATTCCTGAGAGAGTCGTAGAGTTCTTCACTTTTCACCATAAACTTTGTATTTAATTCTTCCACATTCAAATGAAGATTTGGGTCTGCAGAAGGCAATAATGCATAGGAAAAAAAAAAAGTTTTACAGGACACATATTAGAAATATCCTCAAGAGTTTTAAAAAAATTAGCATGAAATGTTGCAAGTATTTAATGTTAAAATTTAATGTGTGTTTCCTTTCAATGAGACCTGAAAATGGAAATGGAAACTAAAAATGTAGTGCTACCAGATCCAACTAACATCTACGATAGATGAGATGGAGAAAATGGATGGAATCAATAGATGTTTTGGGGATGGATGGACAGGATTTGGAGATGGATACAATTTGGGGCAGAAAAGAAAGGAAGGGTAAGAATGAGCCCTGAGTCTCTCTCAGGAGCCCCTGGGTGGATATAGTGCCAAACCGTGAGCCAGGACTAAATCCCTATGATAGGGTTTTGAAAAAAATAAACGTGCTGCTTTATCTGCTTAGATAACCAACTGATGTAAGTGAATAATACATTGTATATAGGAACTAATTCAGAAGCAGAGGGGGAACTGGCATTCCGCCTTGGAAACCTGGAACCCTGTGATGAGGAGTGGTGCTGTGAAAGCCACCAGCCTTAGATTTTCATGCCAAATTGCCAGGTTTCCAAGGTCACTGATTTTTTAAATGTAGTCTTTAGTTTTCTCTCTCCTTGTACTAAATGTAAGCGAAGAGGTCCTTTCTGCTTTTCCTTGTAATTTCTGTAAGCCTTAGCTCACTCAGGAACATCAGTTTACCTCCTAATACTCGAAGGGTTCATGCTAGTCATTTGTATTTGTATGCCTGTTATGGACTAAATATTTGTGTGTCTCCCCCGCCCTCCACACACCAAATTTATCTGCTTGAAGTCTAACTTCCAATGTGATGGTATTTGGAGAGAGGGCCTTTAGGAGATTCTTAAAGTTAGAAGAGGGCATGAGGTGAAGCCTTAGTCTTATGAGATTAGTACCCTAATATATAAAAGAGGGCACTAGAGCTAGTGGTTTCTCTGCCACAACCGCATGAGGACATAATGGGAAGGTGACGGTCTGTGAGCCAGGAAGAGAGATCTCAGCAGAAACGGAATCAGCTGGCACCTTGATCTTGGACTTCCCAAGGGTCCAGAGCTATGAGAAATAAATGTCTGTTGTTCAGGTGATATTTTGTTAAGACAGTCTGAACCTAATACGATGTCCTACTGTAGTTATCCTTTTAGAACTAAGCTCATCAAATAGCCCTTGTGCATCATCTAAGTTTCAAGAGCCGCCTCCCACTTCTCCCCACTGGAGTCACTGCAACCATGCTGTTTGACTCTTCAGAGCTTATCATTACTTTTGAACTATTTTTTTCTTTGAGAGCTTCTGGTCATAAAATTAAATGTTTTCATCATTTCCCAAATTTTCTGATATTTTCTTTCCTAAAGGCATGCCCCAAGATACTTCACTTGACTGTTCTGGGCAGTTGTTTGCTAACGGGCTCCTGACTCTGCATGGTCCTGGTTGAGGGAGAGGTGTTCGGACCACACTTAGAAGCACTCTCTCTCCTATGACCTGTGGCCTAGAAACAGACACCAGGTAGTCAGCTGTGAACCCCCGATAAATGATCTGGACCCTTCCAGTAATGTTGGCCTTAGGGGCAATAGAAGCCTATAAAAGACAAACTGATTACATCTATCCTAAATCTATGGGTCCCCTATGCTGTCCAGTACTGTAGCCACTAGTGACATGTGACTATTGAGCATTTTAACCATGGCTAGTCCACACTGAGATGTGATGTAAATACAAACTGCATTTTGAAAACTTGATACTAACATCTTTTTAATTGTATTAGCTCTTTAGATTGATTACATGTTAAAATGACATCTTGGATAAATTAAATTTATAGTATTTAAATTAATTTTACCTTTCTCTTTTTAGTTTTTTTAAATGCTTATTCAGATATTTTTGTATTAAAGTATACAAGATATACAATAACATATCAGTTTCAAGTATACAACACAGTGATTGGAAATTTATAGACATTAATAAAATGGTCACCAGGATAAATGTAGTTATCATCTGTCATAGTACAAAGTTACTACAATATTATTGCCTATATTTCCTATGCCGTAGTTTACATCCCTTTGACATCCAAACAGAGTTTGTTCCTCTTAATCTCCTTCTTTGCTCATCCCCAGCCCATCCCCTCTGGCAACCACCAGTTCTCTGTATTTGTTGACTCTGTTTCTGCTTTGTTTTGGTCTTTAGATCCCACACATAAGTGAATTCATATGGCATTTTTGTCTGATGTATTTCACTTAGCATAATACCTTCTAGTTCCATCCATGTTGTCATTAATGGCAAAGTTTCAATCTTGTTATGGCTGAGTAATATTCCACTCTCTCTATATATACACCACATCTTCTTTGTCCATCAATCAGTGAATCTATCAAGCAATTTAGGTTGTTTCCATACCTCAGTTATTGTAAGTAATGCTGCAATGAACATAGGAGTACACATATATTTTCAAATTAGTGTTTTCATTTTCTTTGGATAAATACCCAGGAGTGGAATTGCTGGATTGTATGGTATGTCTACTTTTTATTTTTTTTGTGGAAACTCCATACTGTTTCCATAGCAGCCACACCAATTTTCATTTCCCACCAACAGTGTACTAGGGTTTCCTTTCTCCACATCCTCTCCAACATTGTTATTTCCTGTCTTTTTGACACTAGTCAGTCTGATTGGTATGAGGTGATATCTCATGGAGGTTTTGATTTGCATTTCCCTGACTATCTTCTCATGTGTCGTTGGCCACTGGTATGTCTTCTTTGGAAAATGTCCATTGAGGTCCTCTTCCTATTTTTTAATGGGTTTTTTTTTTGGTGTTAATTTTTATGAATTCTTTATATATTTTGGATATTAACTCATTGTTGAATATGTCACTTGCAAATATCTTCTTCCATTCAGCAGGTTGCCTTTTCATTTTGCTGATGGTTTCCTTTGCTGTGCAGAAGCTTTTTAGTTTGATGTTATCCCACTAGTTTATTTTTACTTTTGTGGCCCTTGCCTGAGGAGAAAGATACAAAAAAAATTGGTAAAACTGATGTCCAAGAATTTACTGCCTATTTTCTTTCAGCAGTTTTATGGTTTTAGGTCTTACATTTAGGTCTCTAATTCATGTTGTTTATTTTTGTAACTGGTGTAAGAAAGTGGTCCAGTTTCATAGTTCTGCATGTGGCTGTCCAGATTTCCCAACACCATTTATTGAAGAGCCTGTCTTTTCCCCATTGTATATATTCTTGCCTCCCTTGTAATAGTTTAATTGATCATATAAGTGTGGGCTTATTTCTGGACTCCCTATTCTATTCCATTGATGCATATTTTTGTACCAGTACCACACTGTTTGATTACAATAGCTTTGTATTATAGTTTGAAATCTGAGAGTGTTATACCTCTAGCTTTGTTCATCTTTCTTAGGATTGATTTGGCTATTTGGAGTCTTTTGTGATTCCATACAAATTTTAGGGTATTTTTATCCTAGTTCTGAGAAAAATGCTGTTGGTATTTGAATAGGGATTGCACTGAATCTGGAGATTGCTTTGGGTTGTATGGACATTTAAATTATATTAATTATTCCAAACCATGCGATTGGTATATCTTTCCATTTTTTGGTGTCTTCTACAGTTTCTTTCATCAATGTCTTACAGTTTCAGAGTACAGGTCTTTTACATCCTTGGTTAAAATTATTCCCGGGCATTTTATTATTTTTGATGCCATTGTATGCGGGATTGTTTTCTTAATTTCTCTTTCTCATAGTCCATTATTAGTGTATAGGAACACAACAGATTTCTACATATTAATTTTACATTCTGCAACTTTACTGAATTCATTTATTAATAGTTCATGTCTAACAGTTTTTTGGTAGAGTCCTTCGGGTTTTCTATACTATCATGTCATCTGCAAATGGTGACAATCTTACTTCTTCCTTACCAGTTTGGATGCCTTTTGTTTCTTTTTCTTGTCTGACTGCTATGACTAGGACTTCCAGCACTATGTTGAATAAAAGTGGGAAGAATAGGCATCTTTATCTTATTCCTGATCTTAAAGAAAAAGATTTCAGCTTTTAACCATTGGGTATGATGTTAGCTGTGGGTTTGTCATATACGGCCTTTAGTATGTTGAGATTTGTTCCCTTTATACAACTTCGTTGAGTTTTTATCATGAATGGATGTTAATTTTTGTTAAATGCTTTTTTCTGCATCTATTGACATGATCATATGATTTTTATCTTTCATTTTGTTACAAATCAATTGTGTCACATCAATTGATTTGCAGATGTTGGACCATCCTTGAAGCCCTGGAACAAATCTCACTTGATTTTGGTGTATGATCCTTTTAATGTGTTGTTGAATTCAGTTTGCCAGTATCTTGTTGAAGATTTTTTACACCTACGTCCATGAAAAATATCAGCCTGCAATTTTCTTTGTAGTGTCTTTGTCTGGCTTTAATATCAGGGTAATGCTGGTTTTGTAGAATGAATTTGAAAGCATTCCTTCCTCTTCAAGTTTTTGGAATAGTTTGAGAAGGATGGGTTTTAATTCTTCTTTAAATGTTTGGTAGGATTCAGCAGCTATCTGGTCCTGGAATTTTGTTTGCTGGGAGTTTTTTCTTTAATTACTGATTTAATATCATTACTTGGTAATCAGCCTGTTCATTTTTTTTTGGTGTTAATTTTCTTCCTCATACAGTCTTAGAAGATTGTATGTTTCTTAGAATTTATCCATTTCTTCTAGGTTGTTCAATTTGTTGGCATATAATTTCTGTAGTAGTCTTTTATAATCCTTAGCATTTCTGCGGGGTAGGTTGTAATTTCTCTTTCATTTCTGATTTTATTTGTCATTTTTTTCTTGATAAGTATGAGTAAAGGTTGATTAATTTATGTTTTCAACTAAGCAGCTCTTAGATCCATTGATTTTTCTATTGCTTGATTAGTCTCTATTTCATTTATTTCCACTTTTCTTTATTTTTTTCCTTCTACTAACTTTGGGCATTCTTCTTC